TGGTGTTTGATTCAACAAGATGCTACGTTTTACATTTAAAAGTGTTAAAATATCTTTCTAAAAAAAAAAAAAACAATAACTTTGAAAGAATTTAAATATAAAGCAACTTATAAAACAGGATTTAAAATATGTTTTGGGAAAATTGACAAGTAGAAGATGCCAGTTTAGGAAGGTAAGATTTCAAGATAAGCATAGAAGAAGCACAGCTGATATTAACGGTGTGTTGGTTCCATTGATGTGGGAAGTGAAGTGAAAAGGACTGGATCTTTGGATATAATAGTGATAAAAAAAAAGCTTTTTTCTGTTAATCTGCTGTTGGGGTAGATAAAATAATTTAACTATTTAGTACAAATGGGATTGGGCTTGTTCATTTAGGATCTTATATTCAATTAACTGAATCTAAAAGTGAATTCAGAACTAATAAAGGAGCCAGTGAAGAGATTCTAGGACTGAAATAATGTTTTTCCTGTTATACCCAAAAGCATTCTTACAACACTAGTGTTTTGAATAAGCTGAAAATTGTGATAGTTGAGGCTGAGGGAGATGCTGGTAGACAAAGGTTGTAATTAACAAAAGCAGGAATGATTATTATATCAAGCTACCTTGAAAAGAGGGACTTGAAGCTGGGAGTATTGTCACATCCAAGTTAATGGCATTCCAGTTAACATAGCTGTAGAAGTCGGTATTCCAATATGATGACGCAGAAGCAGAAATCGTTCATAGTACTTCTTACCAACATCGTTTCAAGCCTTTCCACATGCAGTTGGAGTCAGTGGGAGGCTGTGATTTATAACCAAACACAGGGCTGTGACGAAGTTGTACGAAGCTATATCGCTGCAAACAATAGGAAAATTAAACTGCCTAAGCAGTGTTGCACCAAATGAGGTCAATAAACTGAGACGGTTTTAGGCCAAGGATTGCCAAACTAAACAAATTGCATGAAAATGTCCAAATTTGCACAGAAACCTAAAAATAGAACCCCAAGTAACCTATTGGGGTTACTGTTTTTGCTGATAAACAGTTTATCAGCAAAAACAAAGTTGTTTTGGGGATTAATGTCACTTTAAAAACTAGTTGGATTAAAGTATGAGTTAACGCATTTGTACTGTTTTACAAAAGCACTGTAATGCTTCATTTTGACTCAAACAAAACGCATGGACAGAAGGCAAAATAAAATATTCTAGTGTTCTATGAAAGTTCTAAAAATATTTGATCACTTAATTTTGTCGGGCAAACTCTGCAGAGAAGGTCCTCATTTAATCAGTGTGCTCAAAACAAGTAAGATAACTGCCTTTAAGGTTTAATTACCTTAATGTAATTCATAACTCATTTTTTAAAGTCAAGTCAAAGTTTAATGAACAAATAAAGCACAATAGATGTGCTTCTTCTTGGTTGCCACTGAGAGGCGCCCTTCTCCCTCCTACCGAAATATTTCCTTGTCATATAAAACAGGAAGTTCGAACCCTAAGCAAACCCTGAAAGAACATTGTTTAACCGAGTTAAACAGTTTTCTCATAAGGAACTGTACATCAAAAGTAATTTGGTGGATGAACTCACATCATCGCACTGCTTCACATTTTCCAGATAAGACAACCAAGCAATCGTTTCATTGCCTTATTAGTGATACGCCAACAAAAATTTGTGAATAACTAAAGTGGGATTTTTTTTCTCTTTTCAAAGTCTTGCATTCATTTGTTTTCAGTCACCTTGAATCAATACCAGGTTTTGCTCCATTTCTATTCTGATATGTCTCTACAAGCTGTTCAGATCTTCTGAAATTTTAATCATTTTTTTGTAAAATAGCTTAAGCTCAGTCAGGTTGAATGGAGAGCAATTGTAACCGGCATTTTTCATGCATTCATATAGATTTTCAAAAGGATTTGTGTCTGTACTTTCACTTACACATGACATGCATTGATTTAAACCATCCCACTATAACTCTCTTCTAGTCACAGTTTGGCTATATGAGCCAAGTCATTTGATAAGTCTGCTTGTACACAATTATAAGAAGATGTGTTGGGAATAAATAATTATGTTTTCCTCTCTCTGTTTTAGCTACTTGCATGTGTACATGCATGTATATACATGGCGTAACTTACATAGAGATCCATAAAAGAAATCAGAAACTGTTGTGTGCCATTTTGCTGTGTTTTCCCATGAACAATACGTGATGATGATGATGATGATGATGATGATGATGATGATGATGATGATGATGAACAGCTCTGCATTTTGGTCTTAATAAATGGAATTCATGAATTCAACTCACTGACTCTTCTTGAACCGCAAATATTATGAACACACACACACACACACACACACACACACACACACACACACACACACACACACACACACACTTATACAGTTGGGAATTATGCAACCTGAAACCAGGAGAATGCCTCTTAATGCTCAGTCACCCATCAAATACTATTCTCCCTGAGTTAAAGTGGGGGAATGCATTGTGATGGCCAAAATTCACCCCTCAGATACAGTTCAACCACTTTAACTCAGGATAGCTCAAAACTGTGGTTTTACATTATTTTTAGGGGTGCACCGATTGCAGGCTTCTGGCCGATTACTGATGTATTAAAGATAAGATTAGGTTATCAAGCAATATCCAAAGTTTTCCAAAGTTGATCAATTTGTTTTGTGAAAATTGAAAGAGTACAACTACAAGCCAACCAAGAAATGGCCAGCCAGTCTTCATTCATTGTACTTGTTGAGGAAGTGTAGATCTGTAGCTCTTGTGGGTGAATGTTGTCAGGAAGTGATACAAATATAGTCTTTTCAAGAGTAACAAAACAAAAGTAACAATTTAAGAAAAAAAAAAAAAAATATATATATATATATATATATAGATAGATAGATAGATAGATAGATAGATAGATAGATAGATAGATAGATAGATAGATAGATAGATAGATAGATAGATAGATAGAGAGAGAGAGAGAGAGAGAGAGAGAGAGAGAGAGAGAGAGAGAGATAGTGTACAGAAACATCTGTGCAGAATATGGACTGGAAGCCCTGAGATCAAAGGTGGTGGAGAATGACCGAGCTAAGATCCTGTGGGACTTCCAGATCCTGACAGACAAGATGGTAATGGCGAACCAACCGGACATTGTGGTGGTGGATAAAGAACAGAGGAAAGACGTTATGGTGGATGTAGCAATACCAAGTGACCACAACATCAGGAAAAAGGAGCACGAGAAACTGGAGAAATACCAGGGCCTCAGAGAGAAACTGGAGAAGGCCTGGAAGGTGAAGACCACAGTGGTGCCTGTGGTCATCGGGGTCCTCTGGGCAGTCACCCCCAAACTGGAGCAGTGGCTAAAACCAGGAACAACATCGGAAAGCCAGGTATTGGAAAACATGCTCAAACTCCAGTCCTTAAGGGGCGTTGTCCTGCAGTTTTTTTTGATGTGCCACAGGTACAAAGCGCTGGAATGAAATGGCTTAATTACCTCCTTCTTGTGTAGACAAGTTCTCCAGAACCTTGCTAATGACCTAATTATTCTATGGTGCAGCAGAGGCACATCTAAAAGTTGCAGGGCAGTGGCCCTCCAGGCTTGGAGTTTGACACCTGTGCTCTAGTCAGATGGACAAAGTTGCACCTTTTTGACCTGAACTATATCAATAGTTCATATCACCCTGAACAGGAGTAATTAGTATAGTTTCATAGTATGTTCATCCGTCCAATCTGACAGAGCTGGAGGAACTTGGTAAAGAAAAATGGGCAGACATTTTTGTTGATTTGTGCAAAAGAAGGTCAAACGATACACTAAGAGACTTGAAGCTGTACTGCAATGGAAAATGGCTCTTCAAATAATTCATTTATAAACCTTTTTTAAAATACAGATCCCTTTATTTCCACTTAGACCTCATCAGCCTCACAAACATTATTTTAAATGCATTCTGCACTGCAAACAGGAAGTCACTGGAGAGTTGTTAACAATGCTGTTTCTCTTTTTGAAGTTCCCGTCAGAGGTCGGGATGCAGAACTCTGAACCAACCAGCTAAAGATGAAACTCAGGGAGGAACATGGTTGTATTTAACACACCAGAGACAGAAAAATGGTGCAAAAGGTGATTTGTATTGTAGCTGGAAAAATGATTTACAATATACAGGATAAACTGCCATTAAATAACTGGTTCAATTTTCCATTAATCACAAACATTTCCAAATAAGTTGATTAAATTCATTCAAAAATGTCCACATGCTGATAAGGATCCCACACAAGTAGTAATAGTTCAGTTCACTCCTTGTATTGACTTGCAGATGTTTTTGTGTCAAGTCAACACAAAAACGCAAACAGAAAGGAATCATAACCCACTGTTCTCAATATGGTGCTTAATTTAAAACGTGATAAACCCCCTCTCAATAATAAAATGCTGTCACCAAGCGCTCAAAGTGGAGGAGAGGCAGAGAAGGGGTTCGACAAACAGCAGACATTGATTGAACATTGATCAGAAGTTGGCATTTCAATAATTAGAATTCAACCAGAAAACAACATTGATCCAATTACATCTCATCAGCATTGAAAACTTGGCTAGAATTGGATGATTGATTGATGGTTAATCCACCGTTCATCGTCTACCTCAACCATAAATCGACCTTTTTGACCAGAATTCAATGTTGAACTACCAATTGCTTGCTATCTGGGATCTAATAAGAAAACCTTCATCAAACAAACATACTCTGATAACCAATGTGCTTGGAAGTGGCCTTAAAGTCTCAGTCATAAGGGTTTCTGCCATTCTTTCTCGCATGCCAAATGACCACAGCAGTTCCTCTCAGCCTCTTTCACAACTCCAAGCAGGCTTTAACTTGCTCCCCAGATCTCCATCATAAAATGGTTGAATAACCGGATTCTAACCGAAGCAATGACACCCCTTCTCTTAACACAACAAGACACTCATCTCTTGCGAAAGTAACTAACATTTTTCATGCAACTCCCAGAGCGTCACAGGAGAGGAAGAGGCAGGTTTAAAAAGGCCTGCCCCTCCTTCGTTGACTCATAAACTCTTTCCGCGGCTCCTCTGTTCGCAGTCAGCAGCATGGCGTTTGCAGGGAAATACCAGCTTGAGACTCAGACAAACTATGACGAGTTTTTGGAAGCAATTGGTAAAAAGATGTCTTCATTTGGATATTGATTCAGTGAGCAATGATTTATTCAAACGCTGAATTATTTTTCATTGGACAATGGATTTCTCCACCACAGGGCTTCAGACGGCTAAGACAGAACACAAAGTGGTGACTGAGGTGGTTCAGGATGGCGACAACTTCGCCTGGACACAAAGCATCCCTGGCTGGAGCTGGACCACCAGTTTCACATTGAATAAGGAGTGTGAGATGGAGTCGATGAAAGGTGAAAAATTTAAGGTAAGTCACTTTCGCTAGGCTGAAAAATTGGAAAGAATTGATTGATTTAATTTGAGACACTGATCTTTGTGACCTGCAGGGCACTGCAAAAATTAATGATGGGAAGTTGTCTCTGCAGTTTCCAGAATATTTCTTCACCGCAGAGATTGTTAATGATAAACTAGAAATGGTGAGAGGAGGTTTTGAAACTCTAAAAGTGATTTAAGCCCTCAATCAGATGAACATGAGTTATAGATTGTCATAAAATAACCCCAGACTCTTTTTTTTTTTTTCTGCACGGTTCAGACTTGTGTAACTCCTGGAGAAAACAGTGTGACTTTTAAGAGAGTGAGTGGGAGGATCTAGCTATGCGGGATCCAACATGTCTCCTTGGGAAGACGAATGACAGACAACGGTTGCTCCAGCTTCTCAAAGCAAGAGAAATAAAGTTACGACATTAAACCAAGCCACAAGCAGACGGTCAGCGTCACTCAAATGAGTCGGTCATGAGTTTTGAGGTTTGAATTTGCAGAACTGATGAAATTACAGAGTGTACCATGTGAATTTCTCAGCTTTAACAGGACATGTATAGAAACTAAGGAATATCTCTAACATGTTAATTACTGATTTTTCCCAAATTAATCCTGACTTCTAACATCATTTTAATGTTTTAGCATGATGCTAATATTTCTATTGTACACCTACCTATACATGCCTGACAAACTGCAAAGAGAGTTCTTCCGGAGAAAAACACTCTTTCCATTTGTCAGAAGGATGTAGCAGAATCGGATCACAGCACCAATTAAACATCCAATAATTGAACAGTTTGACACTGAGATTTGAAATACTATTGTCCAAAGTTTCTATTGATTGTGATGTGTTACTTCATTAAAAATAAAGGAAATTAAAGAATTATCAAAGGAAAAAAAAAAAACTCATTTATTCATTCATCCAAAAGCACCCAAGCAAATTGACTTACTTTGTTTATGTTCGGCAACGGAATTAACACCTCCTGTTGGGTGCATGCTGTAAGCACTGAAAGAAAAAACTGCTGTACACTGTGGGTTTCAACTCAGAAAAGTCTGTCTGATTCATGCATTGCCATTTCTTCAAGTGCTATTCCTATCATTTAAAAGTGATAAAATGTCTTTCTAAAAAACTTTGAAAGTATTTAAATATAAAACAACTTATAAAACAGAACTTAAAATATGTTTTGGGAAAATTATCAAATAGAAGATGCCAGTTTAGGAAGGCAAAATTTGAAGACACATATAGAAGAAGCACAGCTGATAATAACGGCGAAGAGAAAACATTCTGACTCCTTCATGCTAATGACTGGATATTGGGGTATAAATAATAATAATGGCAATAAAAAGTGTTTTCTGTTCATCTGCTGTGGGGGTAGATAATGGTCCAATGAGCTTAATGTAACTAACTCATTTTCTTTTTTAGAAAAAGTCAAGTCAAACTTAAATAGATGAGGCACAATAGATGTACTTCATCTTGGTTGCCACTGAGAGGCGCCCTTCTCTCTTTTACAAAAACGTTTGCTTTTCAAATAAAACAACAGGAAGTTCTAAACCTAAACATACCCTAGAAGAGCAACGAACTAGACGTGAATCAAGATATTAAAGCAGGGAATCCGACGCTGATTCACGCTGAAGAGTGAAAAATCAAAAGCTTATATGAGGGCAGATGAGGTGAAACTAATGTTGCCACCTTTCAGAAATAAAAATAAGGGATGCTCCCCACAGCCCTACTCTCTCTCATGGGGTGGGACGTCCGCTGCAGTGATAGACATTATTTTATGGTGGTGTTTTTTGTTTTTAAAAAGTGATCCATAGAGCAATCGTTCATGCATAGAGGTCGGTTAGAGTGCCCCAAAACTGTACTCCAATCAGAGTAGCATACCTTAAACACGTTTAATTAACCAAGTGTAAAAAGTATTTGGTAAACTACTCAAGTACTGAGTTACTGATCATAACACCTGGTTTAATATTCAAAATGTGTCCTCAGACAGCCAAAAGTATGAAGGTTATGTAAAACATTCTGGTATTTTAGTCAAAATATATCAGCATTTCAAAATAAAGCATACAGAAAGCATTAACATACCTTTTAAAGTAGGAAATATTGATGTATATTTGTATGATTTGTTCTTTAAATGGCCATTAGTATTATTTTGGATGATATTAATAAGCAAATAAGCAAACTTTTTTTTTTGGTTGGTTGGTTGGTTTGAAATCAGCCGTCTCTCAGTCCATTGAACAATACAGAATATAAGTAAGCAAAGAGCTTATTTCTTATATTTTTATACTATGATAAGCCACAAATAGTGTTAAAATGTACATTTTCTGTGTGTAACTAATGTCACATATTTTCTACATTAGACTAAAACAATGAGTATGGTTCAGTTTAATTCTCTTTCATGCTCAGTCTAGAGTAGACAGTTCAGGACGCCCCCTTGTGGATTTAAATAATCCATTCACTCCTTTCAGAGCCTGAGATTTATTGCTGGTGTGTTTTTCAGAGAAGAAAAAAATTAAAACCCCATTACTTTAGAACAGTAAACTATCATGTAACAATTTACTGCTACCAGCAATCAGCAGAAGCATGTTTTCTGATTGCTGGTTTAATACAAGCAAGTTTCAGACAAAATGGGAAGATTTCTGAATTAAAAGCTCCCGTTCAATCAATTTTCTGCAGTTAAATCTGTAAATGTAACCACCAAAAGCCAAATAAACGCATATGGTATTTTTAAAACTCAAAACGCAAGTTTCACTTTACAATGACCCAGAAGAGCTCTTGAATATAGTAATTTCCGACTATGAGCTCTCATTCATTTTTGCAACATTTTTCTGTTGTGTAATTAATAAATTAAGGAACAAAAAAATAATAATCTGAAGAGCTGCTTTGGAGCAGACTCTTTTAAGTGATCCGAGGAAATAGAGTCGGTTCTCTAAAGCAGGGATGTCAAACTCAATTTCACCAAGGGCCACTTCAGCATATTGACCCCCCTCAACGGGCCACATTGACGGTACAAATCAGGAGTTCCCAGGTCCAGTCCTCCAGACTGCAACTTTTAGATACATCCCTACTAAAACACATCCCAGACAAAAGGTTGACTTCCCTTATTCAGTTCTGTAGAGGCTTATATTGAGTCAATGATCCAGGTGTGTTAGAGAAGAAACGCATCTAAAATTTCAGATGGTAGCTCTGGAAAACTAGACCTGGGCAGCGCTAGCATAAATGTATGAAAATACGATGTTTAAAATAAATTAAACAACACCTCATATTGTTAATAACGCTTTGGAGCGTCTGGTTAGGAAGCGCATTCAAAACCTTTGTTTGAAATGGCGCGTTAAATTCAAGTCTCCATTACAGACCAGAGAAAACTAAAGAGAATGAATGCAACGTTGTGTTAATCCATTTGAGG